TTTTATACAGTACGGGAAAATGCATTTATTCAAAAAAAGAATGTAATATTTAACGATAAGATTTTCCCAAAATAATTTTTAAACAATTGTTTTAATACGTTAAATTCGCGTAGATTTCTATTAGAAGCATATTAATTAGCGAATAATATCATGCTTTAAAATAAAGTTTAAATTAAAAAAATTATTTATTATAAGATTGATAAAAATAGTCGTATGAAATTTAATATATTTTTTTGAAATGTTTGATTAAATTCTTAAATTATATAAAAAATTAATAAAGCTCTAAAGCAACTATTTATGATTAATAGCTACAAGTATTTAAATTTATTTATTTGTATAGATAGTATAATTATAAGAACAAAGAATATTATTAGAATTAATTTTTTTAGCTCTTGCAGCTCATTAAAATTTAATGTTTAAAAAGATTTTTTTTTTTGTATTCAAAAAAGATAAAAATTAATTAAGAACCCGTTTTATTTCTTTTCTACTGCCTCCTTTCTTTTCTACTGGGTGCATTTGAACTTTGTTTTTACAAATCTAAACATAAATTATAAAATAAATATATTTTTGTTTTTATGAATAAATATTATTAATAATTAATTTTAATGCTTTACACTTCTTTATTTTATCGATTAAAAATTTCTGAACAAATTTCTAAATCTTTTTTTTTCTTTCTAATGCAGCTGGCAAACACAGACATGGACGTCTTGGATGCCTTAAGGCAAGTACTGCACAGACGTACTCACTTTGCATTACCCAGGGGCGCGTGTAACTTGAAGAGAAGCTATGGAAGCGGAGTAACAATGCCCCAGCAACGCTCTACGGTCTTCTTAGCCGGGACCTACTTTTTAAAGTGGATTCCGAACCAGTACAAACAACCATGGCACCGCCAGGAATCGAACCCAATAACTGTGGTACCTAGCACCATAGCGCTAGCCACTCGGCCATTCAGGCCTTTTCTAAATCTTTGTACTACTATATTTTCTCGGCCTATACAAGACCTATAACAGCTCCAAAAAAAAGTCTACTTTCGTGTTAGTGGCGCACTTAAATTTTCATTTGCAATCAATATATATATCTTTATATACAGAGCTCTAATTATTAAAAATTATTATTTACAAAAAAAAAAAAATAAATAAATAAATAAAGATAAAGAATTAAATTTGATTCGCAAATGCAGTTCGCTCCAAGGATCGAGATTTTTAGAGTTCTCTAGTATACTACCAATCTAATTGCCTGGCCTGCAGCAAACCATAATTATCATATGGTGTGATACATGAAGTGGCTCACTTTGAAAACAGTCGGAAACACGGGTATGTTCAATCACTTCAGAGAAAATGTGAAAAAAAATCTTGTCGACTCATCGCAGAACTCTCTTTTTTTCTTCTCCAAAAAACCTTTCCCAACCTCCCAAACTTCCCTTTAAGAAAATTCATCAAAAAGGGGGGAGGGTTTGATTCCCTCACTTCTCATTGAAGTAGACACTTTCTGAGCATATGGTCTATCAGCAATCACGATGAAAAAACTCGTGGTGTAATCCATATTCTATCTGTAATAGTTTCGACCTGTGAAGATCGCACAGACAATCGCTGCTAATTTCATGAGGTCTCATTATTCATGACACTGAATATCTGCTATCAGATTTGAGTGACAGGTTGTTCTCATTAGTACAAAACACGAATTGCATGTAATATAATTATCCACAACACTGCTTATCTTCTGTAAAATTTCAGTGATAGGCGGTTATTATGTACTTGTTAGAAATATACATTCCTCTCTCCTAGGAAAGTTACAACTCTTTCCAAGGGAAAAATACTACACTACCAACACTATTACATAGCACAATGTTAATATGCTTAGAATTGAAGCACACTCAGAAAAAAAAAACATAATACCTCTGTTCATACCTCATAATACCTATTAGTTCTTTACATAACTATTATCGGTGGAAATGGCTCGAAGAAAAATAATTTATGATTCAATTCAATTGATTAACAATATTAATTAACAGCTAAAACAAAAGTTTTTTAACCTCGATTTAGCATGACGAAATTAGTAAATAATAATAATAAAAATTAACGAAATTACTAAATTATAATAAGATGATAAATTTTTGAAGATATCTGATTAAAAGCTTTGAAGATTTGGATGTTCAAAAATTGACTTGCCCAATGTTAAATGAAAATTTCGCATAATGAACGATATCTATTTATTTATATTTTTAAATTTTTTTTTGTGCCTGTTGAAAGAAAATTTTTTTCCCACCGCTAAAATCATAATTTTAGTCAAATTTTTGCAGCATTTTTAAAAAAATCAATAAATATATATTTTTTTTTTTATCCACTAGATAGACATCAACATATAGATCTAGTCTATGAATCCGTGTTCTCATCGAAGAAGTGAGCAGCTTCTGTTGTGATGAAACATCCGTAGGTAGAAGTTTTATTTGCTCCTTGTCTCTGAAGTACTGCAGTGACTTCCGGAGAGTTTTAGAGGAACTCCTCTGCATTTGCATATCGTATGCGAGAAAACCCGGAAAACCCTCACGAAGTAGTCTGGTTAACGAGGCAAGATGCTGAACATTCCCACACGTCATCGTGTCTCGTCGTCATTTGAAGTAGAGACTACAACAAAGCCGCCAGAACCTCCGCACTATTGCTGACCAGTGGAGCACGTTACCACTAATCCACGAGTCGTGCAAAAAAAAAAAAAATCAATTAATATTAAATGCCTTAATGAAAAATAAGAATTATAACACATTTCAATTTTTATACAGTTGGCTTTCTAGTAGTCATCATTTATACAATTTATTTATTTATTTTAAAATTATTGAGAAGAGCTTATAAAATATTCAAGAAATTAGCGACAAGTTTCCAAATAAATAAATAAATAAATAAAAAAAAAACATATTTATTATTATATATTCCATTTTTTTTTGCGCAATCAGAATTAAGTCGATGTCTCGTGTGATTCGGAAAGCTGTTAAAGAAATAGTTTAATTCAATAGATTTAAATTTTTAATATTTTCAATTACACTTTTTTATGCATTTAACTGGATTTCCTCCTTTTAAAAATGGTTATTATATTTTTGAAAAAATAAATTAGCTTTATATCTTACTGAAACAAAAATTATCATAATTTGTTTTCATAAAATATTAATAAGCAAAACATAAAAAAAAAAACATTAATAATTTTTATTACATATATTTTTTGCTTCAATGTACGTATTCTTTTGAAACATAAAAATCATTAATAATTTTTATACATATTTTTAAATAATTAGAAAGCTACTGGAATAATTTTTTTATTTAAATCAGAATTGTGTCGGTCTTTGATTTAAATATAAAATTGCTTGCACTTACTTCATAAAATAGTAAAATGTTTTTTGATTATATGTTAATGATTAAATGTTTTTTGATTATATTATTTGATTTTGATATTAAAAAATGTTAAAATGGTCATTAAATTAGTGTTGAATTATTTTACAATGATATGTGAAGAATGTTTTAAAGTTTTATATTATGTATATATATATATATATATAATACGTACATAGAGTTTTATATTATGTATATACATATTTGAGTGTGTGTATTTTTTATATGCATGTAATTGATTTTTTTCTATTTAATTCAGAATACTTTCTGACTTTTTTTCCAATAACAGGCATATTGGTTTAAGCATATATATTTATTTAGATATTATCTGGCATTCCCAGAGACAATAATAATAATTTTTTGTGTTGAAAATAAACATAAAAATTACTTCAGTTTAAAAATCTGAAATATTTCACAAGTTCAATAACACACCCACCACCCACACACTCGCACGCAGGCACATGCATACATACACACACACACACACACATATATATATATATATATCTTATTTATGTACACCAAAACCAGTACATTGACAATTAAAAATTGAAAGACACTGCCTTCTTGTAATACTTTTAAGGGAGATTGATTCTCATTTGCATTTCGTATGAGAAAAAATTCCATGAAGTAATGTGATTATCCATGGTGATGCATATATACGTTACCATAAACTCCATCGAATCAGTTTGCGTTCTAAAAAGCATTATTACATAAGGATATTCGAATGTGTTTGTTTTTCTACATATTTTGTCCTACACACACACACACACACACACACACACACACACATACACACTCATACATACACATGTGTGCGCGTGCGTGTTTAATAAAATTTTAGATTACACGATAATAAAGAAACATATAGATGAAAACTTCCATACTAACTATTTTTTTTTTTTTCTTTCAAAGCACCTTTGTATATCTAACTAACATCCCTAACAAGTAATGGACTCGTCTGTTTCCTTCGTGAAACCGGATATCTACCATTCCACCCTATCCATGGTCTGACTATATGAATGCAATATACTTTTTACTACCTACAGTAATATCTAAAATGGATACCATTGATTTCTATCGTAATTAATGAATGCGCTTTAATAAAATTTTAAAATAAATTATTTTATTTTTTTATAAAATTTTAGCTGAAAGATAATGCGCTTTCCTATTTAATTTCTGCTCGTGTAATTAAAATATCATTTGCCATTCTATTCGACTTTATTAAGATTTAGAAGTATTATTCATCAAAAAACGTCTTAATGAATTCAGTTTGTTTAAATGGATATCGTTTGCAAGAAAAATAAATAATTATCGAAAAAGGTAAAACATGTTGTTGTTATTTGTTATCCCACTTGGCTGGCCAAGCCCACGAGCCCATACGTATTCATGATTGAAGGGGAAGGGAGTAGCTTATGTTGTGATGGAGCACCCGTAGGTAGAAGTCTGACTTTGGCTCCGTGACACTCTTACAGTCATAGGAGACCGGGACCTACGGCTTAAAGTGGATTCCGAACCACTACAAACATCCATCGCAAAGCCGGGACTCGAACCCGAAACATGTGGCACCGATCGCCAGAGCGCTAGACACTCGGCCATTCAGGTCCCAAATGTGTGAATGCCAACGGCACGCGGTGTTCCCAGGTGGTCACCCTCCCAAGTACTGACCGCGCCCAATGATGCTTGACTTCGGAGGTAAAACATTCTTCCTATAATGAATGTTTTATAACTTGAATTTCTATTGAAAATAAATCTTAATAAATGCCAATACTTAGTATTCATTAGTACTTTTAGCTTTGCTCATTGGCTACGAGGTTTATTGAATACTTTTCGATAAAAATATCAATTTAATGAACAAATTGTGATATCTGATGCCATAAAAATTTGTAACATATACCCTTAGAACTCATACTTATCTCTTTTTCCAATCATCTAATATAGAATCTTTTCGGCTTTAAAGATGTATCGTTCTTATCCTAACAGGAAAGTAGGAGTATTCGGTGCTTTCAGACATATTATACTTCGAACTCTATCTAGAACTAATAAGTCTGTTTTTAATGATGTATTCAGGGTTTATTCTGTCCTAAAATAAAATAATTTTTTACATTTTATAATAAAAAAAGCATATTTTTTAATATATTTTTTTATTTTAAATATATTGAATTGTATCTATCTACTTTTAAATTTAAAAAAAAAAATCATCTCTTATATATTTAAAATATAGTAAATTTTAATACCTATTGTCAGATATGGCCTACTATTATGCAGATTAAACTAAAATAATAAGTTTTTTTTTTAACACATTCTATTATAAAAGAGATTTCAAAATGCAGCTATTTATGTTATCTATTTTAACTGTATTTGTTAAGTAGACATAACATGGACATAATATTACTCATAAGATCATGTAATCTAAAATTTAACAAAAAACAATAAATTTAAATGTTATCAAATAAAATTAAGTACAGTCATCAAATCAGAAATACGAAAAAAGGCCATATGACGTAAACAGAGTAAAAATTAAATAAATAAATACGTAGATTTAAAATTAAAATATCACAAAATTAAAATTAATGTATTAAATTATTAATTAAAATTTTGAACGTCAACAAGATTAAATTTTATACAGCTATAAAATTTAGTAAGAATATTTGAAATGAATAAAATTAAACTAATTATATAATTTTTGCAAAAGGATATATAAATATTTTAATAAATGTGAAATACTTTAATAAAATATTTATAGGATTTATTATGAGAAAATAATTAAAAAATAGTTATTCATTATTAAAAAATGAATTAATAAAAAGTTAAACGCTTATGAATTAATTTCAATTCATAAATTTTTAAAAATGGTGGCAATTAATAATTATATGATAATTTGTTATATTATTTTATTACTATTAATTTCTTTCATTTTAATCCGAGTTAACTGTCTTCATAATTTCCATTTAAAATAATTTTCGTATTTAAATTATTTTTAATTGAAAATTATCTATTAAAAAGTAAAATCATGAATAATTAAATATTTTAAATTAACCTTTTTTTCAATTCCTTTCTAAAAACAGTTGACAAAATTTGTATAAGTTTTTATTTCAAACAAGTTTTTATTAAGCTGTAACCATACAAAAAAAATCCTTTCACCAATTAGCAATAAATAAGCAGTGTAAAAAAAAAAAACCCTACTACTTCTTTTACTCTCAACACACTCTTACTGGTCGGAGTACATACTAGATTAAAAAAAAAAAATACTTAATAGAGTATTAATTGAAGCGATATCAATTTACATTGTTAGTTGCTTGTTAGAAAAGTTAAGATGCCCACAAAAAATGACATTTTAAACGGCCATCTAATAAAACATTTTAACTATTTACAACTTACTTAATCATAGGAGAAGTATCATACAATTTATTTACTCTAAATGCTATAATTATGATAAAATAATAAAAATGTGTAATTATTATTACTTCAATAAACAATTTCAGTTATTTTTATGGTTTACAAATGTTTTTCAATGAAATCAAGCAAATTTTTCTTGGTTATTTCTTGGTGATCTTAACAACAAGGTAATATAATATTCAATTAATTAATGAAACAATTATACTTATGTATACTGGCCCTTTTCTGTAAATTTAAAAGTTATAGGAATTTTGAAACAAAAGTTGGTGAGGATCAAATTTTTCATACGATTTCTCTAAAAATCTCGGCTTTCATTGTAGAACAATTTAAAATTAGTGATTAATTAAGCCATGTAATAATTAAAAATCTTGAATAATAATTAATAGACATGGGTAATTATTCATAAAAATAATATAATTAATATTAATAATTAATAATAAAAAATAAGTTAATAATAAGCCCTGTAATAATTAATAATAAAATTAATTAACCCTGTTAATTAATTTCTTTAATCAATTGCATTGCACCCTTTAAGTCAATTTCATCGATACCATTCAGATGAAGATCTAATGATAATTATAAAAGTTACTAATGGTGTCATTTTTTTTTCGCCTGGTTGCAAATCTTTATAGTTCTGGTAAAGATGTGGGTGAAACTGTGTCACCGCAGGGTTTGTCCGAAAGCCCTCAAGGGAGGCATGAAGAGGGTTTCAAAGGTTGATCCAGTCTAAAAATATATTTGTGTCTATTTCCGCATTTACACAGAATGTTTTTGATCGTAAATTGCTTGTCGAGTTTCGAACCAAGCACATTCAGTTTGAAAATCCAAAATGCTATCCATTAGTTATCATTGCTCCTTGACAAAGAAAACATTCTTGGTTTAAAAATTCAACGTAATATAAACCAGTCTGTCCTGACCCTAGTAAAAAAAAAAAAAAAAATGTGTATTCGTTTGAAAATCCAATGTTTTATCTACCAACGCCTTGTCCTCTATCGAAGAACAGCACACATGATTTGAAAATCCAATGTACTATCTAGCAATCTGCCTTGCCTCTTGTTAAAAAAGTAATACATTTGAATTACAAACTTGTTATGAATGTAACTATACTAAAAATTAACATCATTAATTCAAAGAAATTATTTTATTACAATTTTTCACGATTAATCTTATTGGCTTATGTGGCTATAGGTAAAAAAAAAATTTAATTTCTCAATATAATTCATGTTTCTTTTGACCGAAACTTTTAAAATCAATCAGTCATAGTGTCAAAATATATTAAGTATCTTGCCGATAGGAACTTGATATATTTATAGTAATCTCGTTTATATGAATTCAATACAATTTTGACGGCATTAGTGATTTAACAGGAATTAAAATTACTGCATGTGTATGAACTGATTGTACATTTATATGACGGATAAATATAAATGTACAATTATTTTGTGATAACTTTTCATATTTTAGGTTTTAAAATTTTTTTATGTCAGATAATGTAGGCTGATTTTTATAAAAAAAAATATATTTTACGACATATATAAATAACGAAAATATAATATTAACAAATTGCAAATTTAAAATTAATGCGGAACACATATTTCTACTTTACAAAGCTTATTAATCTTATGACAAATGCATTTTAAAACCTGATATACAAAGGTCGAAGCTAAAAATTGTTATCCGAAATTGAAATCAGGGAATGTAACAGTTATGCTAAGATAAAACGCAATTAAAATTTCTGAAAAATTAAATGTTTTATTTGGGTGATGCAGCAATGCAACAACAAATAAGCAAATAATGAAAAAAGGTGCTGTCCTCATTCTGGCCTGCTATCCGACTTAGAATTAAATTATAGAGTTGCTGGATGGCTTTCACGTTGTGGAATTTCTAGCCAACTTCTCTCAATTTTTTTTTTCTAAACTTTTACAAAATTCTCTTATTTTCTTGTCCAAATTCTTTAATTTTCACCAAACTCCTTAATTTCACCATTTTTTTTTTTCACTCAACCTTTTTTTAGAAGGTAAAATTTCGTTACAAGTTAGTTATTTACTTCTTGGTATATCGTTGTTTACCATTGTCTTAGAATAAATTGGCTTATGGAAGATTTTCAGTCAATTTAAATTATTTAGTTGGAATATTAAAATAACAAAAATGCATCCACTACAATTAGACGTATTAGATTAAATAAGTTGAAAATTCTATATTTAAAAATTACTAACTAATTTATTAAAAAATTTAACTAATTTATTTAAAAATTATTAATTATTATTTAAAATTATTATAATTATTTAAAAAACATTAACGGCCTTCACATAAAACAATTTTAGAATATGAATGACGAAAACTAGATATTTTCTTTATAGGTTTATAGGGTGAATTTTTACATCTCATATAACTATGGCTTTCCTTTCAAAACAAAACATATTAAAATCAAAACAGAATACTAAAATCATTATTCTAAAAGCCTTTTTGGAAAACCCTTCAGAATTCATAATGGCCAAAAAAATTTATTTTATTAAACTATAAAGCTTCAGAACACAGCAATCCTCCTTGGATGCAAAATTTCAATACATGAAATCCCCGCAAATAAATTAAGAAACAGCGAGAAACATAAAATAGATTTTGCAACACTAAAAAAGAAATGTAAAAATAGGAATGCTTTATGGCAGCAAACTGGGAAAGTAGCGTCTGTAGTAAAACGAAGTTTAGTTCTTTGAAGTAAGAAATTCTGTAAATTTCTTCAGATTTTCCATCGCATTTTACTTGTCAACTTAGCATTTTAGGGAAGATGCTGTAATTTTTTTCTGTCATCATTTGCTGTCATGCTCCAATTTTTTTCCAAATTCTCTCTAATTTCTTTTAAATTCTCTCTAATTTCTTGCCAAATTTTCTCCAATCTCTTGTCAAATTCTCTTTCATTAAATTCTCACCAAACTCTGTTTTAAAAGGTATTTGCAAACGAAATTTCGTTACCATCAGTTAATATACTCTTCATGTATGATATGATATTAATATGATGTCCCCTTTATGTTAATATCCTCTTTAGGTGTGATATGATATATTAAGATGGTGTCCTTTTATGTTAATATCATCTTGGTGTGGGATAATATATATTATATCATCTTTATGTTAATTTCCACTAGATGGGAGATGTGATATTAATATGATGTCCTCTTGATGTTTTCTTTTATCTTATAGTAAAAGGCTTTATAGAAGATTTTCAATCATTTTAATTTATTTAGTTAGAATATTAAATAATAAAAATGCATCTAATATAATTAGACGTATTAGATTAAAAATT